GTGTGGTGGGGGGGGGGGGGGGGTGTTTTTGTTTTTTTTTAATGGCAAGCTATTACCCAGTCTTCCAAAAGTCAGCATGGTAACCTTGGTTTTGCTGACATAAGAGGATAAAGAGATCCATGAAATTTAAACATGACTAAAATTAGGCTGCAAGATCATGGTCTTTTTGCTCCAACATAACTTGCTGCTGTCAAATCAGAAGTGTCTCTTTCCCTCCTGCCTGCTTCTTCCAGCTGAAAACAACAGTTTATTTTCTCTCCTGTACTGTGCTCGTGAGTACTGGCCCCTTTTTGGGGCCAGTGTAATTCACTAAACCACAAATTTGATCACTTTTGCTAAGTTAGTTTGCTGCTACATGTGCGGGCTAAATTACTTTAATGACCAGCACGGTTCAATGACCAAAGCTGACACGAGGTGCGCAGCAAGCTTACAGAGTGAGATGAGAAGGCGGCCAGCAGGCAGCAGTTAGGTCTGCTCTGTATGTCTTGTGGAACTGGATCTTCAGCTCTCTTCTACTGTGTATTACAGGTAGACTGTTCCTCATCATTAGTTACAGTCTGATGAGGAAAATATGTAAACAGGCAGATCATCTGAACAAAGACTTGCTCCTTCTGCCTCTTAGCCTCTCCCATTAGCTGCTGAAATTATTTTCCTGCTCTATTTAGAACTTAGAAAGCAGTGCATTTCTTCCTCTAATGTAAAGATTTTAAATACTAGTTTTAATATTTTGATTACTGTTGATGCTATGAGCATCCTTGAATTTTGTCCAGTATAACTTTCAGAAAGGAACCTTTGAGTTCCTTACAAGAAAGAATTCATAGTCCAATTTCTTTCCCGTCATGACCCATGAAAATCTCAACCACAACATACTTTGCCTAACACAGGCATCAGTCCTGTCAAACGGTTGTCGAGAACAAGCAGGTTTATTAAAAAAAAAAAAAAAAGAGAGCCTCTTCCCTTAGTATTTAATGATAAGACTTTCTTTCCGGCTATTAACCTCTCATGCTTGTGTTCTGTTAAGCACATTAGCACAGTTGTATATTCTCAAAAAGCCACATGGGACAAAAAAAGATGAAGTAAAATAAAATTTGCTTTAAAGGCTATTGGATGAGGAACAAAACTGTAGTGCGTGACTGCACTACAGTTGGCATATCAGGTAAAAATCTCAATGTTAACTGCTCTCTAAGGATCCGTGTGACAAATTTGAGTTCTGTCTTCGAGGTTCACATTATGTGCCCACATTAGATATGCAGATAGTTTCAGACTAACTAAAAAACAAGCCTGATGTCTCTCTTACTCCTAATTTTGAGAAGCAAAATTTAAATTAAATTTATCCAACTTATTTCTGTTTCTGAGCTTGAATACAGCTGAAGATTAATGATCCAGGACAAACCTGATAAAGTCAAGTCCTCCTCCTTTTACATGCCCCTCATCATCTGTAGTTACTGCAGCCTGTACCTTTGTAAACACATTATATTGTTTAGTATCTCCATCTAGTCAATAGTGGTGAATTTGTAACTAGTTTCAAGCACACAGCATCTACTAAATAACCAATTTTTGTTTTGATGAAATTGCACTTTTGACTCAGACTACAGTCTAATCTGTTATACATATTTTCAGGGCTTTCAACAATCCTTATTCCACTAATTGCCAAATAAATGAACTCACTTCTCTCACCCTTGTTTTTAAAGTCTCCTTCAGAACTACACCTTCAATATTTGAGTGCAAGCATACTTCAGATGGTACATAACTAATGAGCCAAACCAGTTAATTACTACTATTGATATAGCATAGCAATCAAGCAGTGTGCCTTAGATATCAACGGAAGGACCAAACACTGGCAGACATTGATCTGAATTAGACTTGACAAGCAGGATGAAAGCAAACAAAAGGAGAGACAGTGGGAGGAGAAGGGTTACAACAGAGGGATTAGGAAGTGCCTTTTAGTTTTTTTATGCATCTTAATAATTCCCTGTGGAGTTTTAATGAATTTGTTTTACGCATTAGGATATCGCTGCCAGTGTCTGGAATGAAGGGCAGGGTGGGGTCAGCAGTCTCTGCTGCAATATCTGACAAGTCATAACAGAGTCCAGATTAAATATCAACATTGCCACTGTCATCCTGACACATGAACAGGATCTCCTACCTCTTGCAATGTGTTGATATCCACGCCATCCCCTTGAATAACTCTGAGATATGGTGGCAGCAATTTGTAGCCTTTTGAGTTCTCTGTAATGGGGAACTTCTTCCCCAAGATCTCCAAGACCTATTGAAAAGAGAAGGGAGACAGTTCAAAATAAAAATAAAAACCTGCCATTCCAATAAAGAAACAATTTCCACATTTGAGTCATGGTCTCTCTCTCAAAAAAAAAGAAAAATCCATAAATATACCCACATATCCTGGTCTAAATCTATCCACATAGGCACACAAACAAAAAGCATGCCAGCCGTTGTGGTGGAAGCCATTAGATTAAAGCAGTCACAGACCATTTGGCCCTTATGAACTTGTACCCAAAAGCTAATCAGAACCATGTTTCCTTCCCTTCTTTCTTTGGTTGCTGCAAGTTTTTGCTATTAAATGTGCAACTGAAGATTTTGCTTTTCTTTTGACCTCCCTTAAGATGGTGGATGAGGCTTTCAGTTTTCTACAATTTTGTAAGCCATCAATAATTAAAATGAAACACTTCAGTTAGGAGTTCTTCTTATCAGCTCTGATAAAGGTTATTCAAAGTTCCTATTTGTGATATGTCACTTGTCCCAAAGGAAAAAAAAAAAAGTGTTAAAACTGTATGGATCTAATTTGATAGAGCACCAACATAACTAAAGTCTGCCCTACTTCCTTATTAAAACAGTACTGACAGCTACTCAAATTCAGAGGTATCAACAGCTTTTATTATAGAACTGCAACAATCATTATGCTCTGTAAAGAGCTACAAGGCAAGACGCGTTTTTCAACTTGGAGGTCGTGTGCCACTGACTTAATGCATGTCTTACAAAAGGCAGAATAATGCTAAACATGCAGCATAAAACAGTGAATTACATTAATACAGGACATCAACATACCTAAACTTGGTGGTAAGAAGTCTTATTGGCCTGGCATTTATTAACACTCAAGTTGTTTCCTATTTTATTTGTTATTAAGTGATGAAAGTTTCTCTTTATAGAATTATTCCATCATTATTAGACCAGCAAAACTGGTAACTGTTGTAAAAGCTTCAAGAACAGGTTTGATGAAAAAGATTAAACTATTCAGACTGCAAAAGAGTTTCCGTATCTATACTGAGATGAGATAAATGTTTACATTTTTCATAGGTCCAAATTATCCAGCATCAACTACATACCATGCATACCAAGATAGAGCATTACGTTTCCTATGTTTGTTAGCTGGTTATTACAAGACAAACAATTGCCCTTCCCAACCTTGTATACGAATGACTTGAAGAAAGGATTACCTTTAAAACAGTGTCAAGGGGATTCCCAGAATCTGGTCTAATAATAAGTGGTGCCTCTGGACTTCGGGCTTCAATTATATGCCTTAAGTCATCACCCCATATTTTTTCACAAGCATTGTAAATGTCGTAGCTGTCACTAACCACAGATACAGGCACTGAAGAAAACTGTGTGACTATGTGTTCAAAAGCATCTTTTTCATGATCTTTCCCCCAAGCTGTTATTGTACTGTAAAGTCAATTGAAAAATCCATATTAGAACAGCATTTATATGTTAAATCACACATTCTATATTTCCTACCAGCAACAGTTCAAGATAATGATAGGCAATATGATTACAAGACAGCATAAACTATGTGTTTATCAGCATTGTGTTGCATGGATAGTAAATATACCATATACTAGATAAACAGCACCCTGGATTTATCTTTGGCAACTCAGACAAACACTTCACTCAAACTTCTTTCACATGTAAATGTGAATTTTTTTTTTTTAAACATTTGTGAGAGAGTTTCTCCCTTAAATCTGAAAATCAGACAGTTAGGGAACTACAGATCCAAGAACAGAACATCTGCTCTGGCAGCTTCAGACTACAAAATGGGAAGTAGAGAACTAGCAGCTTATGTTAGAAAAATCTTAGAAGAAAACACATCTATTTTCTTTGTTAACAGTGATAGAAAACCATTATGCTCACTTATACAAACATTCTTCTAGAGGAACCTCAGGGCATTACCCTTGGTACAAGGGTACAGCCAAGCACATAAAACAGAGTTGCTGAGAGAGGTAATAAGTTACTGAATGTCAATTGATCTGCAGTAGCTGTTCTGTATGTAGCTGTCACAGACCAGCTGACATAACTACTTCAGTAACTTGCGTGTGAACACCAAATAACGCTCTCATGCAAAGCACAGGTGTGCAGTAAGAGCTAGTGGGCATTGAATTTTTACCGTAAAATGCTAGCATTAAGTACTGTGTAGACAAGCCCCAGATCACAGTAGTGAAGATAAAAAACAAAATTTGTTTCAGAGAAGTGGGGCAGTCCGAGGAACAACCCTGGTGGAGTGCCAGAGGCAAGCACCACACTCACAACACAACCTCGCATCGCAGGTTGTGGAACAGTAGAACAATTCTGGAAAGATTTGGGTCTCCTGCACAAAACGCTTTTCATGTATTAACTTGGAAGGGGTGACTGCAGTCTGTATTTGGCAATGAGAACTTGAACTAGGGCAGTTTAAGCTGTCTGCTTTCATCCCACTACTTCAATACGCTCTGCAAAAGATGCTTGTTCTCTGACTCTGTGTGTTTGCTTCCATTACAATGAGTTTTATACTTGTTTGGGCCATCATTTTTGGATTTAACTGTGGTATTAAGCTAAACTAAGATGTTTTAGACAAACTTTGTCTACTGATAAAGCAGGAGTTCTAGAACAGCACTACAGCAATGGTCCAGAAAGTTATATGAAGCAGTGTTCCTTTAAAGATGATCACTATGATCAGCCTACGAGGACTATTCATGTAAGCCTTTCTATTATCTGTCTTGCAATCCTAAGTGAAAATATTCACTATTTAAAAGCACTAGATAAGAAAATAACCAACCATCCCTTCCTTTATATTCTGCTCATTTCAGTATGCAGACATGCAAGTGAAATCCAAGGATTTGCATTCACTCCTAACCTTGTACAGGATTTGGATATAAAAAATGAGAGCATCTGTTTGAGATCAGTTCCTTACTCTCAAAAAACTCATTCACAATTCTTAGTGAGAGACCAAGGATTTACCATTGGGTGAATTAGTTATACTGATGGGAAGCTTTAGAGCAACTGCCTCTTCTGGAGGAAGAACATGTTCTGAGAGAGTCCAGAATTGCAACTTACATGGCTTCCATTTTAAGATTTTATCTTTAAAACAAAATTTAAAGTTCATAATGTGAATCCTCAATATCTACTTTAACCTGCAAGCTTTCAGGTCCATTCTAAAAAGAATCATCCAAATTTACTTAGATACTGATAAGAAGGTTATAGTTAAAAACATTTAAAACACATTTATAGTTAAGAACAACCATGCCACTGTTGTGCCCCTAGAACATACGGAGGCATCAGTACTGAACTTCAGCCTCAACAGCTGGATCAGTCATGGCTAATACTGTATAAGTGAAACAGCTTAATATTCCTGGATACAAAAGATAGGTAAGAAAAAACTACATTTTGTTAAACTATATTTAAAAAGGCTTTAATAGCCCAATATCTTACCTGTGTTCAGCAGCTGGAACAGAATATCCTGGAACTGGATCTTTTGTACCATAGTACTTTTTAATTAATGCAATTCCTGCTACAGTGTCTGTTCCTTTGAAGTTCACCAAATGAGCTGAAGCTCCTATTCCTGCAGTCTGAAAAAGATACAACTTCCAGTTGCCACGCCAAATATAGAAGCCTAAATCCAGTCACCACCTAGCACTAGTTTGTAACAGCAAAACTCTGACTTGGTTCCTGTTTCACCAATACCCTCTGCATGCATTTACACAGGAAAGACAGCTTCCATACAGAAAAAACCTCTCCTGGACTAGTGCTAACAGTTCAGACACATACCCACCCCAGATCTCCCCCCTCCACAGTAAGTCCAAACACAGTGCTCTATGCATTCACAATTTCACTGCTGAACTGGGACACAATTGTTAACAGATACATGCTTTATAGTTAAGAACAATTAGACTTCTCAAATCATTAGACAAGTAGCATTACCTCTTGTGAAGAAACTCCTCTGTAGCCAAAGTCATGCAGTTTATACTCCAGTCCTTCTAAGCTGCCAGAAGTCTCTAGCAAATATTTGGCCAAAATCTTTTTCTGCTCTCTAGAGTTTGTAGCCACTGTGATTGGATACCATGACTGCACAAGAATAGTCTAGAACAAAACCCATCACATTATTAGGTTTACATTTGCTTAGGACTTAAAAATCCCCACTTGGCATTTAATCAATCAGGCACAAAAAGGTCTATTTATTTTCATCACCCATTCAGAAAGTCCTGATGCCTCCAGCAGTTTGCTTTAGGGCTAAAGTAATTAGCCTTTACAATACCTTTATAAGGTAGGCCAGGTATTGACTACCTCAGGAGTTTTCACTCCCAAGCTACAGACACATGATTCCCCCCAACCTCTTTTCCTTGTGGATAAAAGTACTGTTGTGAATTTCCTGTAAAATTATCACAATCTCTTGCCAGGCAGTGGGAAAAGGTCTGTGTGAGAGCACTAAAAAAAGAAACCAGGCTTACTTAAAGCAGAAAATGAAAGCTGCCAGAGATTCCCCTTAAAGCAATATGGGATTCAGCCTTTAATTTAAGTGCATTAATATTTACTTAGAAAAAACACGTTAACTTTCCAAAACTGACCTCAATCCAATTTGTGAGCCAGTAGCACTCCGGATCTGTGTTTTCTACTGTGAAAAGAACATTTCCTCTGGGAATTACAGAGCCCTCAGGAACAGCCTTTATTTCTATAGGAAGATGGCCATCGTATTTCTGTGTAAGAAACAGTAATATTGTTAGACGACAGGAAAGATTAGGACCTACCTCTCCTTTATTTTACTGCAATGGATAAAATTAAGTCTATGAGTTTACTGATAAAGCTTTTTTCTTCTTAATTTCTTTCAACTCTAAAAATAACTTGGTTTGTTGGTACACCCACCCACCAGCCCAAATAAATAAAAAAAATCTGCATTTATCAAAAAAGGAGGAAAATCCTGTAACCTAAAAAATAGTCTCCTTATCAAACCAAACGATGGTTATCAGTTGTATTCCTTGTGCAAATTGAGTCAGGAAGGCTTAAATATTCTGTAAGTTCTACTCACAGAACAAGAAATATTTGCTACTCAGTTTTCTTCAGTGCTTTCACATGAAGTAAGCTAAAAAAAGTTTAGCTATTATCTAGGCCTTAAAAAAAAATCCCTAGTTTTGTTTAGTATAGATCTGTGCTTTGTTAATTTATTACAGCAGGATCCATTTAATATGTATTTTAAATAATATTTTATCATCTCAATTATTCACTAAACATGAAATCTAATCTTAAAGTGTCATTCTTTTGTCAAATTCAGTCTTTCATCCCTGAAGGACTAAAAATTGTGTGAAATATGCCTTTTGAAAAAGAGCAAGTTGCAAACAGCAACTCTAAAAGAGTAATTACAACTTTCTGACAGAGCTCTGCAAGCTAAACTGATAATACTTAAAATGTTTTGTATATTACTGTTTTTTGACAGAAAGCTTCTCATGAGATATTCTTAAAGGCAACAAAAATTGCATTAATTCAGAGGGGGGGGGGATGCAGGAAGGCTTCTTTTGACTAAACCAAAATTGAACAGAATTAGTTAAACCACATTAAAACTCAGTGTGGAGAGACATGCAGCATTGAAAGTGTATTAGTTCAGTTTAGCCAAAGAGGGATCAAGATTACTTTAAATACAGATGAGAGCAGTTCACAATGTATAATGTAGCTTAAACACAAATATGGATTGAATTCATATCTGTAGTTATTTGAAATGGATGCAAGTCCTCTACAGACCTCTCCATAACTCCCTCTTAGAAAACAGTGGGTTTATTTACCTTGTTGTCATTTGCAAGATTTAGTTGAAATTTACTTTCTTCTTGCACACCTTATGGTCCACCCTGGCTGCAAGATGACATCCAGACATATTCACAGACAGATGCCACCATAAAATACAGTCAGGGTATCCAGGGAAAATTAAATGCAAAGAACTACAAATTGTGTTTTCAAGCACCAAAAATATCCATTCACTAGAGCCCACAATGAAACTTAGCTTTTAATTAATCTGCAGAGATTAGAACAGCTCTGATGAATGTTATTAGTCTGAATCTGCTGCTTTTACTAAGAAGAGATGCTTGCAATTACTTGAAGACTGACACCTTTTTAAACAAAAGGGGAAGAGGATAATTGTGGAAGGACTTAATTTGGAAGTATTTGTGTGTCAGAAGCGCTCAAGCCTTGTATTTCATAATAAAGTTCAATGTAAGTAGCTCTGAAAAATTTAGGAAACAATGGAACAAAACATGTATTTTCTGGAACTATTCACACACACAGGAAGTTGTAACGGTTTCTGCATTAGAATAAAAATGGTTATGATTAGTTACAGAAAGCAATGTAAATGATGCAGGCAACCACTAAGCACTATATTACATACGGAAACTTGCCAACGAGCCCCCACTTACATAGCTGGCTGACGGCAGCCATAAATCCTTATTACCTGCAAAGCCGTATTTGGCATCTGAAAGGATGAAAATCACTTTTTCTCTAAGGAACTGCAATTATATGATTATTCTTTGACAGCTGCTACTCCCTGTACACTGAACATAAAAAGCTAAATTTATCCAGTCTTTACTATCATGGTGTCCTGGTTTCAGCTGGGATAGAGTTAATTTTCTTTCTAGTAGCTGGTATAGTGTTATGTTTTGGATTTAGTAGGAGAATAATGTTGATAGCAACAACTAAAAACATCAGTGTGTTAAGTAGTGTTTAGACTAAGTAGAGGATTTTTCAGCTTCTGATGCCCAGCCAGCAAGAAGGCTGGAGGGGCACAAGCAGTTGGGAGGGGACACAGCCAGGGCAGCTGACCCCAACTGGCCAAAGGGATATTCCATACCATGTGACATCATGCCCAGTATATAAACTGGGGGTAGTTGGCCGGGAGGGGCAGATAGCTGCTTGGGGGCTAACTGGGCATCGGTCGGCAAGCGGCGAGCAATTGCGTTGTGCATCACTTGTTTTGTATATTCCAACTCTTTTATTATTGTCATTTTATTATTATTATCCTTATTATTTTCTTCCTTTCTGTTCTACTAAACTGTTCTTATCTCAATCCACAAGTTTTACCTTTTCCCATCTGATTCTCTCCCCCATCCCACTGGGTGCGAGTAGAGTGAGTGAGCAGCTGTGTGGTGCTTAGTTGCTGGCTGGGGATAAACCATGACACATGGTTAAAAGGAGAGACTGCTGTATTTATTCTACAGATGATTCATAAATCCTTCATTGTCTCATAAATTTTTACCTCCAGAATATAGTTCCATCCCTTTTCGTTGAAGACATCATCTTGAAAATGCTCTCTATATACTTCTTTGGCTTCCCTGATTTTCTCTTTGGTCACCACTTTACCTGTGGTTTCAGAAACAGATGAAAGCTTAGAAACTTACAACACTCGTCAATATATAAAATAAACAACAAAAAAGTTCAGACACAGAAGTCACTTTGCCTCCAACAAAGACATGGAGAACCTGTCAAATGCAGTACTCTAGCTATGTTAAAACCAAATTTTACTTTCATTTATTATATAGATTAGGATGCCCAAGAAACCAACAATAAAATACACTTGTGGTTTGCAGGTGACTCAGGAACAATTTGCGATTATTACTCTTATGGCAGTCAAAAACCCATCATGAGTTTTAGTAGCAGTGCTTTTCACAGAGGAACGTGACGACTGTGCAAGTTGGCACATGCAACAAGACATAACCAGACTAGTACAAGGGTTAAGCTATGCTGCTCCAGGGAGAATCCCTGTGGAGAGGCCTTACAACCAGTCTTTGATTGACCACCTTGTGATAGGAACTGACAGACTAACCACATTATTTGAATAAGCATTGCTACTGCTGTAGGACCAGTCATCTACTGGAAACATTAGAGAACAATCCTCAGATGGCTAAAGAGAAAAGAAACAAGATTATCAAGTCTTTGATTATAGTGGAATTCCAATCTTTGGCAGAATTGGCAGACATTTATGAATTGTGGATCAAGACAAATATATATAAGCCATATGACTAAAGCTTTCCTTCTAAAGCTTGGCAGAAGACAACTTGCATTCAGGTCAGAACAGGTGATATTTGCACATAATGCAAAAAAGCAAGCAAAATCTTAAACGTGCACCAAGGAATTTTCAGATGTTACTCTTAAAGTTGTCAATACTGAAAACACTTTCACATGTAGCTGCCATATTCAATGATCTAAGCTGAATGGCAACCAAAATTTAAGGAAAATTAAAAACATTATTAGTTTACACAGTATTTAAACCAGCAAATACAGGCTAACATTTATGTTCAAAATGCGAAATGTGTTTTCCCTCTAATCTTCTATCTTCTTGTGATTCTATGCAGTCTTGCTCTATCTCCATTCATTTCAATTTAGCCCACTGAAGCTGGGATATGAACACCTCTGTTTTTAATAAACCACTGGTATAAATAAACACAGTAGAGAGGTGTCTGAATTAAGAAGTCAATACCATTTTATGAGGGTGGACATCTCATTTTCAGAATCACATAAATAAGATCTTATGCGTGTCACTACCTATGCTGTACCAAGACAACCTGGAATTGTTTCAGCTGTAAGGCTCCAGCCTTGAGAAAAATTAAGATATTTATTTAAAGGTAAAGTTTTACTGGAATTTGAGACAGTTACCTTTTAAGTATTTATTCAGAATGTACTGCAAACCATAAAAAACAGTTTCTTCGTATTTCACTTTCCTTAATTTGGAATTTTCAGTCTTCTTTTCACGACATTCAAAGTAGGAATATACTTTGCTTGTGTTAGGTGGGTATTGCTTGTAGTGTGTAACCTACATTAAGAAAAACTTCAGTAAGAGCTCAAAACATCACTGCAAAACACAATCATATTTGTACGTTAAAGCTTAGAGTAACTCCCAATGCTTCTGGACTATTGTTATTTATCCGTTCACATTCCACGCAGTAGGTATTTAGGGGATTTCCCCTTCTTTAGGTGCCTTCAACTTTCAGTTCAAAAGACTGTCTTCCCTATCTTATTCTTTGCTACTGCGTCAAGCCTTTCCCCCTAGAGTAATCTTCACAGTCAGCTCTTCCGCTCCCTGATGACTTCGCTTTGATTAACTGGGAAAGACACTGGTTAGGATTTTGGGAGCAGCACTGAGCACCAACATGCCAGGTCAGTTTTCACTCTCCCGCACTTCGGCCAAGCCAGATAGCTACAGGCAGCACTAAGTTGCCTGCCACTACCAAAGCGGAGGTACCTGCTTGTATTTGATTGAAGTTTTGAAGGCCATAGTCACGTAGTTCAAATAAACGCTACCCAGACTCAAGAAGGCGTTGACGACGGCCCTTACCCAAGCATCTCATTCACCACGAGCAGAGTGGGTTTCTCAAGCCCCGGTTACATCAAAGCCAGCTTACAAACCTGTTACTGTCAGTAATGCTGTTAAAATCTACCTGAGGTTTGTACCTTCCCACAAAGTTTGCTAGATGGACTTTCTTCCAGTCTTTGAAAAAGGTCATGTTCAGAATAAAGGAAGCATGAAAAGTTGCAGCCTGTTAAGTGTGTATCACATGGAAACTGGTCATATGAACATACAATGTTATGCTGGATTCAACCATAACAGCTTTTTTTAGCTAGTGGTAGTAAATCTACCCAGAAATTTGAGTAATATATCATTTGAAACAATTACACTCTAAACATGAACAATCTAAACCTGCAAAATTTTATCTCCTAATGTGTAAAAAGCAAACTCCATGCAAAATCCATAATCCTACATTAAACAAAAAGAATACACAATGACATAAATTTCATACTATTATTGATAAATTATAGGATACATAAATCAGCTTAAGGCATTTCCAAAGGTGAAGCTATCAAAAGTTTTCTTAGATTCTGATGAAAAGTCTGTGAACAAGCCTATGCATTCCATAAGGGAAAACTGTTCCTACGGCCAAGTAAAGCACCATCATACATCAGAACAAAACTCAAACAGGTGTGAAATTCATGTCTGAATTTTTCCAAAACCCCAGATTTATAGGTCAGAGCATGAGTTCATTGTAAGTTTCTTGCTGTTACTTCTTACTCTAAAATCACCTTAAAAATGTTTGTTTATAGTATCACAAGGAATTGGAAAAGGGATAATTTTACCACTTCTTCCTTATTGTCCTGGTTTTTTAAATGTACCTCTGACACTTTCAAAATAAAATATTTGAAGGTTTCCCTTACCTGTATTGCTAAACCTGTATATTAAAGGATTTTAAAAATACAGTTTTTGTTTTCCTCTCAAATGCCATTTATAGTTAGTATTTCACTCAGTTTGGACAATGAACTAGACTGCTCAGCTGAGTTTTTCAGTTCTCCTATACCAGCACAATGCTGTTACAGTTGTGTTTCCAATGCTGCAAGGAAACATTCAAATAACTAAAAGGTCAATTTTCAGATCTTTCCATTATCTTTATTTGTATGAAGTTTTCAGGGCCAATCAAATAAAACCCAAGCTTGTCATTGCAAGTTTTCTGCCTTTACTTCAAACAAAGCACTGCAACACAGGCATTTAATGGAGCACTAACCTATTCTGTTTCAATTCCACAGCCACTCAAAAGTAGAATGTTTAAGAGTAGTAATGTTAGACCCAAAGACAAAACCTGGCTTTTAGATTTAGTTCCAGCTGTTAATAAATGTCTTAACAAATTATAACACGTCCTTTCCTAGTTCTACGCAGAACTTCCAAAAACGTAAATCGCACTGCCAGCTCACAGAAAACTCTCTTCAGAATATCATCATGTTTAAAGGAAAAAAAACCCAAATAAAACAAAACTTAACACAAACACCCCCTAACTCCCCTCCACTTACTGTGCAGCAGTCAAAAAATATGCTCCATTTTACATGTCTTTCTAAGGGGAATATGAACACACACACACAACTCCCTTGGACTCAGTGAAAAAGACCATGTAACAAATCATTAGAAGGTTCATTTGCTGTAAAGCACAGAGCATAGAAACTCCTTCCTTCACACCTTTGCCACTCAAGTTACAGCAACTGTATGAAAAATTTTGCTCTTTTTTATGACTGGGACTGGACTTTAAGTTGGTGTTTCTTTATGATTTGATTCTATCACCTGGGAACTCTGTTTATTTCCATTCTTCATCCTATTGGCATGCTACAGCTTCATGATTTCAGAGTAAACGCTCAACAGAGAACCCACCAGCTTCAAGTATACATAGCAGATGTCTCAGGAACAATTCTCCAAACCAATATCTGAATTCCTTGTGACAAGCTCTAGAACAAACCAATGTAATGCTGTTGTTCTCACCCCAACAGTTCAAGCAAAACAAAGAAAACTACATCTGTGTGAGACTGCCTACTCAGATTTCTTTAAAAAAGTTTAATTATCCAACTTACTGACCATGGGCAGGTTGCTGAAGCCAACACCTATATTATAATGAAAATTTGCATAATCTTCAGCTACCGTCTTTAAAAAAAAATTTGACTTTTGCAGTTCAAAGACATCTCCTCCAGCTAAACGCTTCTCTCTCTCAAACGGGTACAGGCCCAAGTTAGCTTAAGGTGTACAGGGCACACATTGAGGTGGTGCCACCTCTTCCCATTGCGTTTCAATACAGGGGTTTTTTAGGGACCTCCCACTCTAGCTCTGCTTTGAAGCACGATCACAAAACACGGTGCTCTGGCTGCAAATCAGAACTTGAGGGCTGAAGTCAGGCTGAAACGCTAACAGCCAGATTTATCCTGTATGTAGCATACCTGGGGAAACAGCTACTCCAGACTACCTTGCTGGCAGTTTCAACCTAAAAAAACCCACTCAAGTTCCTCAAACATTAAAACACAGGTGTAGCTAATTTTTCTGACATTAAATTAGAATCTTAAGCTGAAAATATATACTGGCTAGTGTCCAGAAAATAGTTATTTCTAGGGATTCAAACCGAAATAAAAATGTTGTGTATGATAGAAATGTGATTTTATCAATTAAATTGCTTCAAGTACTTGAAAGAGATAATGAACTAATTTTACAAGTTACATGTGTAACATTCAATTATATTCTTCGCACATTAGAATCCATTTAAACAGTGAAAAATACACATCCCTGGCAATGAAGGTATTTACATCGAAGCAAACTTTACATCTGTAATTTAAAATAACTTGTGCTTCTTTTGAAGCTATTAGTTTTATCTATAAGGCTGAAACACCCTTTGGGTGTCCGCAAGGCTTCTCACAGACTACTCAGTATTTAAAGACACAATTGCAATCTTAAAGTACCACACTTCCCAAGAAGCACATGCTTACTACCAGCATGCTGTATAGGTATGTGAGAAGTAAACACAAGACCTACATCCCCTGTTCACTTATCTGGCCATCTGTTTTGCTTCCAAGCTCTCAGGCAGGGCACCATACCTAGCAGGAGCATCTGCCCACGAAACATCACGGCAGCTCTGACCATTAGCTGGCATTTCTAGACTTCTAGGCCACGGGGAAATAATATCCATCCACCATAGCGGTGGTCAGGAGGTTTGGCATGTAGTGAAATGCCTGGTGGTAAAAAACAGTCTGAAAAAGGATCAAGCTCTAGGGAGTGGGAACAGTTCACAGGAGACACAAAGAATGCCACTGAAAACAAAAAAAACCCCAACCAATCAAACAAAAAAAACCCCAAACCCACACAACACTACAAGAGACTTGGACAATGAAAACTATGCTTCAGAAAATGCCTGAACTTTCCTTGTTGTCAGATGAAGTTTTGCATCTTTCTGTATTCTAAAGAAGAGTGGAAAGAAGAATCAGTGACAATATTTGAAATTTATTTTAGGTGACTTACAGATCAAGACAGTATTGATAAATCTATGCTTTCAGTTAGGGGATGACAGAAGCAGGACTTGTACAGGCGGGCTCTTGATAAGTAGGAGTGACTATGAAGCTAATAGGAAACCCCTTCTCTACAGAAAGAAAAAACAAACCCAACCAAAAACCAAACCAAAGCCCCTACTGGGATTAAGAGACCCTCACAAGAAAATAAAACCCCAAAATATCTTCAAAGGCCTTTTGATATTTAGTTCAAAGGCTGTGGTTTAGGTTTTGTCAACAAAAAGCATGACAAACAGCCTTGGAAGAACCACCTACAACAAGGTTACATACTATGACTGAAATAGAGCACTTTTATTCCAGTTGTGATTAAATTTCATCCAAATAAAGGTACATTCTGAACAAAGAATGCCTCCAGAAGGACTACACCTACTTAACTAAATCAAGTCAGCTATTTGAGAAAAACCATGAAGCACAAATTGCATTTAGATCAGCCATCCAAAAAACTACCCCAAACATTAAGAGTTAAATTTTAAGAAAAAGGAATTAACAGGTATTCATCATAAAACAGGGATGACTGAGGTAAAAGCTGCATTTTTATAGGCTAGATAAGAAAAACTTTGTCATAAAGCCAAATAATCTCATAATCTACAGTCTTTGTTGGACAAGAAATTGCAGTGAAATGACTTTAAAAGGTTATTTAAGTCTATATAACTCAACCATTTGAAAACATGAGAAAACTAGGTCTGAACCCGAGTAGAGAAGTGAGGCATGGCCAAATTCCCCATCAGGGGTTTATTCCTGGTGCTCACCCAGGTCAGACGGGTGCTAACGTGAGCCATTGGAAAGATGCTTCTAAGCCCTGCCTACAGTGAAGGAAACAAACAAACCCCAAATATCTAGCCAGCAGGATCTTGCCTGCACCGTAACTTTACAAGTGATAAGATGATACCAGTTCAACTGAGATGATATTTGAACTTTCTGGAGATACTTTGAAAAATCTTTAGTGCAAAATGGGTACAGAACAACCCATCTTCTGAACCCATGGCACCGTACAGCCAGAAACATGAAGAATCAGAGGGACAGGTGGAAGATAAAGCCAGGAGCAGCACGGCCCCGGAAGGCAGCAGCGGGGCCACTCAGCTAGGGCACTTCAGGTCTGCAGCAAGTAATGAGGGCCCAAGGTACGGGCTGGTCACTGTACTGCAAGCCTTCTTCATACACCGAAGGGAGCCATGTCCTTTCCACTGTGGATGAAAATTGATGGTAGCCTGGTTTACGTGACAACTAAAAATGAGAGCTATGGTTGCAGGGTACAGTGTCAGAATGGCTTGTTGATGCTGGAAGAGATATATTTGGGGGATCCTCACCCCCACATACAACTTACTGCGTTAGATGACTGACTTCAGTGGTGCTTCTGACATTTACACTGGGGAGACTTCTGTGAAGCACCTCTGAGATCCCCACTAGTTACGG